GGGGGCTCTCTTCTTCCCGGGGGCTGACGGTGGCGTTGGCGGTCAGCTGGGGCATCTTGCGCACGGCGTCCCCGGTCCCAAAGGCCGGCTGCTTCTTCTTGGCATCTGTCGTCTTGGGAGGGCTGGCTGGCATCGGCCCTGCTGGGCACAGCCCCGAACCAGTGCCGAAGCGGGCGGCCAGGCTGTCCCCAAAGCAGCAGTAGAGCTCCTGGTAAATCTCATTCAGCGAGACAGCTGGGGGGCTGGCAGGGATGCCGACGCCCGCCTGGGGGCCCCCGCTGCCCAGCTGCAGCAGGTGGCTGGCGATGCCGAAGCCGAACTCCACCTGAGGGTCTTGGAGGGGGCTGAGCCAAGGGACGCTGTCCCGCGGGCGCCCCTCAGGGCCAGCAGCACCCTCTGCCTGGACTGGCACCGAAATGGACTGGGCTTTCATCTTCAGGAGGCGCTCTACTGCCACCTGCAGGGAGGGAGGAGAAGCCCAACAGAGAGCTGGTCAGCACATGCTGCTCGCCTGGGGCGATCCAGGCAGTTTTCCAGATGACCAGGCAGAAATGTCCCCTCACGCTGCAGGGATGCCTCTGCACAGAGGCCTTTGTGATCAACTGGGCTAGAAACTGGGCATATCCCAGGATCTGGATGAACAGGAATTAAAACAAAAACATACAGCAAAGCCCTCCCAGCAGGAAGTTACACCTGGTGCTCTTTGGCAGCTCCAGCAGTCCTCCTGTCACCCCGCTTTCAGAGGCGCCCCCAAAGGGAGGGGCGCTGAGCAGCAATTATGGGAACAGAAATTCATCACGTCTGGAAGCTGTGGAAGTGTGGCAACCTTTCCAAGAGATCACAGGGCCACGGGCCAGTAAATTAATTGTTTGGGACAATGTTACATGATGTTATGGATTTCAGCCTCCTGGCCTGAATGTTCACAGCATTCCATGCCAAGCCACAAGCTGGCTTTGGCGAGATTCTGGCCATCTTACAACCCGCAATAAAAGAAAGAATGTTTGGATTCCACCGATGGCTCCTAGACAGCCCTGCCAGTCCTGACCCGCAGACGTCTGATTAAATGCTGCAGCTCTCGGCCGCTTAGAAGTAAATCACTGTGGCCGGAGTCCCCACCATGCCCGAGAGACTCACCAGAATGGCCCCGTACACCTTGTGTCCATCCGCCTTCACCTGTGCATTGGACACCGAGTAATCGTCCAGCACCGCCTGCAGGTTGGACCAATAGGTCGAGAGGTGGGGATACAGGACCCGCTGCACTGCCTGAGATGGAGAGGTCTGTAAGAGATCTGCCCACGCCGGGGGGCAGCCCAAGACAACAGCGGGGCCCGCCACGACTTACCTCCCATCCCAAGGCGTGCAGCCCCACCACGGCCCCATAGTGTGAGCAGAGGGGGCGGACGGGGTCAGCCAACACCTTCTGTAGCGTGAGCAGGATCTGATGGTACAGGCCGCTCATCAGGTCACCATGGGTCCTGAGGAAGGAGAAGGAAAATCCAAGTGACTTCACGGGTTGCACCAAACCACCCCTGGCTTAATCATGGCTGAAGAAATCTCCATTGGTTTGTTGGCACAAAGCCTTAAACCAGTGTTTCTCAACCTTGGCCACTTGAAGATGGGTGGACTTCAACTCCCAGAATT